TCCTAAGACACGGCACCAGGTGTGCGCACCAATGGGAAACATGGCTATGTGCAGCAGCAAGTATTCTTGTGTGTGGGCAGTTCCTGCAATTGTGCCAGCCCTTGCATTCCAATCGTCCTGTTTGCTGAGGGATGGCCCATACACATGCGCTTCCTTTTTGCAAGCTAGCAGTACATCCCATTCTTCATCGAGTTCTCCTCCACCCAACCCAGTGCACTGAACGTCCAGGGACCCTGGGTCAGCGTCATTGAGTTGCCAGGTGGTGTTATCCATGACAATGATTTTCCAGTCAGTATATTTAGGGTCTGCATGGCTAGCGAGAACTTCGTTGATGGCTAATTCTGCGTTGCTAGGGTCAATTCCCAGTCGTTGTTGCAGTGCTTCTAGGAGAGGGAGGATTTGGGCAGTAGGGAGCTGGAGGCTCGCTTGCTGACCGCAAAAGACACAGGCAGTCTCGCAAGTCTTGGGCCAGGGTGTGTGGTCATTGTTGCAATTGGGGGCTTCCACTGGCGTCCAAAGGCTCTGAAGCAGCAACACTTGCGTCTTGGTAAGACTGCGCTTTTGCGAGACATGTGGCTTGGCGACTATTTTACTCCCTCTAACGAAATCGCAGCCTGTGGGGTGTGTCCATAGCGGGGGTGCCTCATCGACTCCTATGAGCGACACAGCAAGCGGTTGCAGCCCTTTGCTTTGCCACTGTTGGAGTTGGTGCCCCAGGCCTACTTTGCTCCCATGGAAGGCATGCACTATTGGTGGCAGGCTATACCGTTTGTCTAACTCCTTGCTTTGGAACAATTTATCTCCTGGGAGGCAGAGTATGGGGAAGTCGGCTGGGAAGACAGACATAGGAGAGAGTGCACCTTGCTCGAATATAGGGCGGGCCCAGGTCAGGAAGGGCGGGGTCCGCTCGACAAAGTCCGGTCGTAAATAGCGGCCATCTCCGTGACGCGGCCATTCTGCTTGCTCCGGGAGAGGGAATGCAGTGGCTCCAGCCCATTCGCCTAGCATTGCCCATGCATGTGTCCAGTCAAGCGGGGTTCTAGCTTTACATCCTAGTAAAGGGGTGAGAAGTAGCCCGCCTCTTATCGCCTCCGCGGGGTCTTCTGGCACAGCTGTAGTAGCTAGGAAACTGGCTCGGCTGTCATGGAGTGCGGTAACCCATTCATCTGCTGATCTGCGGTTGGCAGGGTGGGCTATTCGCCGTGCTTTTGGGGCGGGTGCATCGCTTGAGGAGGAGCCTTGGGCAGCAGTCAGGGGCATGCATGTATCTGGGGTTGCCTGGTCCATATCGACATCTGCTGTACCGGTCGGGATATGCCCTGTCACAATGATCAAACCGGCATTGAGTTCAGCTTTGGCTTCCGTGGCAAGGAGAACTGCCGGCGGGCACTGGCTAGAGCTGGCCATGCTGCGACTCACTTTAGTGATACGCCTTTATCTTAAACTGGTTCATAGGCAGGGTGCTGCCGCCCTCAAATCCCTCTTCCTTGCGTTCGTGTAGTTTGTTGTTTGCCTTCCTGTGTCCTCTCTTCGCGGTCTGCCCTTTGCGCTCTCGCTCTGCACGTCTGTGTCTCTCGTTGTGAGGGTTTCACGACTTGCGGCGAAGTGAGGTAAAAGGTAAACAAACCTTTTTGTTTTAAAACTTGTTTTTCTTTTTCCAGAAGTGGATTGTTGAAACCCAAGTTTTTAAATGTCTCACATGTTTTCGTGGAAGCGGCGAATCATGTTATTTGTATCCATCTGTTTTATTTTCAAGGGAGGGTGGGTGGGACAACGTTCTCACCGCCTGGAGGTTTTTGAAATGGGGTGGTCTAAAGTGGCCATCGCCTTTTTTCTGACATTGTGCGGTGAGACGTTCAGAGCCATGGACATTCTTTTGATGGCTGAGAGCTATAGGCTGGGAGTCAAACGTTCGACCATTGCATTGCCTTGGGAACAGCCTGGTCTCAAACCTATTTTTGGGAAGCGACAGAGATTGGTGGACGCCCCAAAGTTTGTTCCTTTACAGAATGATGCAGATCGTCATGTCACTTTTGATCAGAAAGAAGTTGCTGGTAAAGTGTCCTGGTCTAGGGTGACATCTGTGATTCCTTGGCCAGTAGCGCAAGAAAGATCCTTATCGAGAGCCCTGGAGAACTGGAGGATCATTGTCTCAGATGATTTGGAAACTTCGGTCCTGGGGCGCCAGATCAAGTCCATTTTGGATGGCACGGTGACCGACATGACAGTAGAGCAAGTCATTCGTGATTCTTTTGCTGGAAAGTCCGTTTCAACTTTGCGTTCAAGAGCGTCTTCACTCATGGCTTTTGCTAGGTGGAAGAAGGCTATGCATGATGACGTGAAGATTTTCCCAGTTACAGAAGATCAGGCCTACAGGTATGTGCTGGAGCTGAGACAGCTGAGTGCACCGAGAACCAAGCCGACGAGATTCCTGGAGAGCCTGGCATTCTCCTATCACATGCTTGGGGCCGACGTTGGAATGTGCTTACAATCCCCAAGGCTCAGGGGCGCTGTCATCACTCCCATGGTGCCACCGAAGAAGAAGGTGCCGCTTGAACGCTGGCAGGTGGCGGCAATGGAAAACATTGCAATGAATGGCGCTGGGCAAGAATCCATCTTTGCTGGTTATGTCTGCTAGGTTTTACATGCAAGGTTGAGGTGGTCTGATGGCCAGTACTGCCAGTATGAACCATATACAGATATTCACAACGGGTCTGGTTTTTTGGAAGGAGAGCTCTACCACCACAAGACGGCGGGCAGACAGAAACAATCCCGAAGGCTTCTCCCGATGGCATGCTGCCTGCCGGGGCTGATGGGCGATTGGGCAACACCATGGTTGCATCAAAGGGAGCAGCAGGGGCTCAACGCCGGCCCAGGGATCCCCACGATGCCAGTGCCACTTGCAGGTGGACGTTGGGGTCAAGTGCCGCTGGAGCCGTCGCAGGCAACAACATGGCTCCGGGAAATCTTTTCGAAGCTCAGACCTGGATGTGATGTGAGTGACATTGCAACACACTCACTGAAGGCGACAATCCTCAGCTGGATGGCCAAGTGCAGCTGCCCTGAGGGAATCAGACGTTTGGCTGGCTATCATGTCGACCCGGGATCAAAGTCGGCATTGGAATATTCCCGGGACGCTCAAGCGCCGGTGCTGCATGCAATCGATGGCATCATGCTCATCATCAGGGAGCACATCTTTGACCCTGATGTGGCTAGGTCACGAAGGTGGTCGGTGCCTCATGTCAGTAGTTTGCAGGATGCCATGATTTTTCTTTCAAAACAGTCACATATTCTTCAGAAGGATGTAGTTGATGACTACGAACCTGAGTCTCCTGTTCCGAATGGCTGGGAGTTATGTGAATCTGACTGTGATGTGTCCTTGTCTAGCGTCAGTGAAGGCGCTCATGAGCTGTTTGAGACTGGTTGTCAGACTTCTGACGAAGACAGGGACGCAGAGGTGGCTGCACCCATTGTCGGAGCCTCAATCGCGAGTGAGCTGCACTACTCAGTAGGGGACCTAGATGTATATAAACACATCAAGAGTGGTTGCTGTCATGTTGCAAAGCCATCTCAAGTTGATGACTGTGATGGCGACCCAGTAGTCCTGAAATGCGGCAAGATTGCAACTAGGAATTTTGAACAGGTGACTGATGTTGCAAACTTCATGCCGTACAAGTGCACTCGATGCTTTGCTGGTGTTGCGGTTTGAACCTCCTGGACGTGTTTAGGTAGGTTGTTACCTTGTGAAATTTTCTTTCACTGCTCGACGCTCGTCCAGGGGTGGTAGCACCCTTCACCAGGAGTGTCAGGCTCTAAGCAGGCCGCGGCAACACGCACAGATGTCGGAGTGGTCTTGGCAGAATTTCATGCCTCAAGACTGATTTCCACTTGTCATGTGTGATGTCATTGTCATTTGGAGTTTGTGCATTGGTCGGATTCATCTGTCCGCTTGGCATGGGCCTTAGTATGCAACTGAAATGACATACTTGTTCAAATTTTTCTTTAATGCAATATGCAGTGATGTCACCATGATACCGGCTTCATCAAAGAGCAGATCTGTGATGAATCAGAGCTGGCATACCGTTTTTTTCGTTTGTTCCTTGGCAGTCTGAACAAGATGTTTGTGAACCTTGTCAGCTGTCATTCCCACCAACATGTTTTGGATTTGTAACGTCATCTTGGACGTGAGCGACACAGTTGGTGCTCCGGCCTTAAGTGGAGAGGTGCAAACGGATGTCAGTCAACGAAAAATGGATCATTGTGACATTGTGAAATTTTGTTCTCAATACACTGACTTTTGCATTTGGTTCTGTGTTGTGAGTTTGACAGTTCTGTTTCTTACAATTGTGTTTGTGAGTCCTGTTGATGCCCACCCGTTGCAGTACAGTGGTACCAACACCGAAGAGTGGTGGAACTTAGATGCCAGGCCGTGTGAGCACAGCTTGAGATCTGGCGTTGAACAACTGATGAACTCAGCAGCACATTGATATTTTTCATTTTCATTGCAAACATCGCTTCAACCTGTTTGTGCCTTCACGTCATTTCCAAGCGCTGGAAAGCTCAGTGGAATTGTAATGACAAGAGCGGTGGGGCGTGAACAGCAAAAGTGCTTGGGCCTTACAACATGAGCGGTTGAGTTAAGACTGGATGTGATTTTTTTTTTGTGAGAGTGTGCAGACATGTATCATGGAGTGAATGCATTTCAATGATGCAAAGCTGTGCATCGTGTCCCAATCGAATGTTGTCAGAATGTCTGCCGTGATGGTTTCAGCAAGCCACAGTGAAAGCACTGTGAAGATCGTCACTGGAAGGAGGCAGAACACTCAGAATTGTTTCAAAGTCATTTAAGATTTTCACTTGGCAAACCGAAAGATCGATGAAGCTATACACAACTATAGCTGCACGAGGGATCAATCAAGTGTTTGCGACAATTTTTCATTTTAATTCTGGACGGCTTTAGGCATAGGGCAATCTCACTTGAACACCCGTGGACAGCCACAATGTCTTTGGTAGATAGCAATGCGGTGTTTGAAAGCAGGGCCCTTTCAATTGGAATCTCCCAGCCCGTCATCAACGCACTGGCCACCCGTGGTTGGGTGACTCATGCAACTTTTGCCTTTGCAGTGGCAACAAACCCGGCGGCGGGAGACGACCAGAATTTCATTGATGGGGTCTTGGTGCCCATTTTGGGCGATGAGGGGCACATTGACGCTCCAAAGCTGAGGAGGCTATTCTATGAGAGCCACACCCTTACATCGGCAGATCTTCGCAGGAAGGTTGAGGCCAATGAGCAGGAGGCGCCGCGCAAATTACCTCCTCCAGAAATTGCGCAGAGATTGGATGCGCTTCAGGCCAGAGTGAGGCCCTTGGTCATCCAGAACGTCCTGGAACCATCCCATCAGCTTATCAACTCCTTGGTGCAATGTGTGGAGGACGGAAGGGTGCGTTACATTGAGTGGTCGAAGTGCACGTCGAGGTCCCAAGAAGTAAACAACATTCGAGAGGACTCAGACCTGAAGGTTTGGAAGACAGACGCTTCTGGCGTTGTCAAAGCAGTGTCAAAGGAGCCTGACATTCAGGCAGTCTTGACAACAGAGTTGGACGTGCACAACGCATTACGCAGGAGGGGTGCCGCCTATGAGATTGCACAGGCCATGTCTTTTGAGGTCCACGAGGCTCTTTTGAACTTTTATTTCTACGAGCTGAAGAAGGAGCCATTGGAGGGTTTCTCCCAAGTCTCATTAGCTCAGGTTGCTGCAGCAGACCGTGAGCTCCACGTCAGGCTGGCAGAGCTGACTAGAGGTGGTCTTCACCCTGGCCCAAATGGTCAGCTACCTTTGGACGATCATGTGAGAGCGCTCCTGCAGAGTCCTGAGCTTAAATGGATGCTTATGCCGCTGCCAAAGCGTCAAGTGGTGAAACCTATTCAGCCGGTTGCGCCGGCAAACAAACCAAAGGTGGACGCGGACCCCAAAAGGAACAGAGATGGTGACAACAAGAAAACAAAGGCGGATGCAGCAAGACTGAAGAAGCTGCGCAGAACCCCCATGCCAAAGCAGCTCATGGGTGGAGTGCCATGTGACGAGCAAGGCCGACCATTCTGCTTCGCGTTCAACTTGGGATCCTGTCCTAATGGGGACGATTGCAAAAAGGGAATGCACCTATGCTGCAAGAAAGGTTGCAAGCAGAAGCATTCTTTCGTGGCGGCCCACAAGTCATCGTGACTATCAAAGGGCAAAGCTGGACAGGCTGAGAGCAGCCAACCCTTGGGAGACAAGGGTCTTCCGACTTCATCGAAGCCTACACGAAAGCGTCAAGGCATCTTTGAGGACAAAGGCGAAAAGCGCCAACGTTTTGAGGCGATCGCCCCTGAGAGAGAGCTCTCAGGCGTGGTTGCAAATGGTGCCGAAGGGCAATCCTTTTCTGAGTTTCCTGCCGAGGGGCAGGCAAAGCTGACAGATGCCGGTCGCAAAAGTGACGGAAACGGCACACAGACTGATGATAAACATTGCACAGTCTTTTTGCTTGATATTTTTTCGGGAACAGCGGGAGTGGCTGCATCATTTATTCAACTTGGTGGAGATGCGTTGGGATTGGATCACATGGTTGACAGAAAGCGCATGAGGGGCCCCATTTCAAAGACTGACCTTTGCAAAAAGGAAACACAGGATCAAGTGATTTCATGGTTGGAGCAAAACAAGGTCGATGCAGTGATGCTGGCTCCGCCATGCGGAACTTCCAGTGGGGCCAGAGAAATTCCAGTTTTTGAATCGGGCCGCAAAAGGGCAGCACCACAGCCGTTGCGCAGCAAGAGGTGGCCGAATGGAATTCCATCACTTCGTGGAGTGTCGGCCTTGAAGGTCAAGCTGGCCAACAAACTATATGCGTTCACAAGGCGGGTCATTGACACATGTGTCCGGCTGGGCATCCCATTTATCTGTGAGAATCCTCAGCGCTCCTGGATGTGGGATACTACTTTCTTTCAGAACTTGCCTGGCTCTTGCCGTTTTCAGTGTATTCACAGCTGTATGTACGGTGGTCAGCGTCTCAAGAAGACCGCCTTGCTCTTGAACTTTGAGGCCAACAACCTCAAACTGACCTGCAATGGGAAGCACCAGCATCTACCGTGGGGAAAGACTATATCACCTCACACAGGGGAAACAGTTTTCTCAACAACCACCGAGGCTGAGTACCCATGGGCCTTGTGCAAACAATTGGCACAAGCTTTTGCAGAGCAAATGAGAATGGCTGGAAAATCTTTTGAGCTTCCCTCTACAACAATGGATGTTAAGCAACGGATGGGCGCAGGAACTCAGCCTCGTGGAAAGCTTGGTCCACTGCTTTTGGCGGAGTTCAAGCACAAAGTTGTAGTGCGGTCTTCGCAAGTCTGCGTTCCCAGAACCATCACTGAGGACAGCCCAGCTCCCTTCCAGGGAATACCACTGCATTCCAAGCTTATTTCTTCTCGTACGGAGATGGTGAAAGGGGTTGCTGGCGACGAAGAAATGCAATTTTCTGAGTTTGGGGTGTACTATACACCTGAGGAATTTTTGCGTATGGCTGCGACCTTGCAGCATCCACTGGATTCACCACAGTTGGTGGATGAGAGCAATTTGCGGGCGATGCTGGCCATTCGTGACTGGACTGAGGCGCAGTTGGCTGAGTTCAGAACAAAAAACCTCAGGCACTACACCAAACTGGCGGTTGACCTCATGGAGGATGAGAAAAACTGAGAGCTGGTATGGACCCTCAGGTAAACGAAGTTTTGCGTGGGAAGAGGCTGAAACTTTTTCAGCAAATGTGTGCAGATGCCGGAGTGGCTGATGGGACACTGTTTGATGAGCTCACGGCAGGTTTCAGATTGACAGGACCTATGCAGGCCTCTGGACAGTTTCCCAGGAGGATCAAACCTGCGACTATCACGGTACAGCAACTCAGGGAATCCTCTGTCTGGTCTAAGAAGATGATTTACTCGTCTTGCAAAAGGGTTTCGTCAGATCCGGAGATTGCCAGAGCAGTTTTTCAGGAGACACAGCAGCAACTTAGTGATGGCTGGGTGAAGGGTCCATTTACGATGCAACAGATGGACGAGCGTTTTGGGGGTTGCTGGATACCCTCAAAGCGCTTTGGTGTGCGCCAAGGCGGAAAAGTGAGAGCAGTTGACGACTTCTCGGAGTTCTTGGTCAACGCATCTGTCACGTCGACTGAGAAGTTGGCCCTGTATGGCATTGACGAGGTCATCAACACTGCAAGGTTCTTTATGGGCATTGATGCCATCACTTTTGACTGTGACGGTTTTCCCGTTTTGGCTCGCTGTGACAGTACAGGTGCGGGCCCATGGAAACAGCTCCAGGGGAGAGCTCTGGACTTGAAGGCGGCATATAAACAGCTGGCGCGCCACCCTGATGATGCATGGGCTGCAGTTTTAGCAGTCTGGAATCCAGACAGCGACAGCGTTGACTTTTACGAGTCAGTAGCACTACCCTTTGGCTCAGTGTCTGCAGTGATGTGCTTTAATCGCATGGCAAGGGCCCTTCGCATTATCATGTCCAAATTGTTCTTGCTGGTGAACACCAACTTTTTTGACGACTTTTGTCAACTGGAGATCCCAAAGCTTTGCAAGTCAGCATGGGACACGGCAGAGTTGGTGATGCAGCTGCTGGGGTGGAGAATCTCGACCTCAGATGACAAGAGGTTGCCCTTTGCAACCAAGTTTACAATGTTGGGCGCTGTGGTGGACTTGTCTGAGATGTGTGAAGGAAAAGTTGTCGTGTGCAACAAGCCCTCCAGACTGGAGGATATTGCTGGCTTGGTGGCAGATATAGTTTCAAAACAAAAGGTGCCAGTTTCCTTGGTTGAGACGCTGCGTGGCCGTCTATTGTATGCGGCAGGGCACACATTTGGGAGGTGCACTCAACTTGCCATCCAGCTCATTTCAAAAGCTGTTAAGGAAGGCCCCCTGGTGGTGATTGATACAAGAACCAAAGGTGTGATTCTGGCTGCGTTGGAGCTGCTTCAAAGTGCAGGCCCTAGATTGGTTAACGCTTGGACTGGAACAAGACCGGTGTTGGTCTTTACTGACGGTGCGTGCGAACAAGATGGGATGCAAGTTTCGCATGGTGCAGTGCTTGTTGATTTCCATACAGACACCTATGTTTACTTTGGGAGCGAAGTTCCTGAGGAATGGGTCAGCAAATGGAGATCTTCTGGCAGAGTGCAACTCATCTGTCAGGCTGAGATTTTTCCGGTCGTGGTGGCGAAACAGACCTGGCCGGGTGTTCTTTCACATAGAGCTGTTCTCTGGTTTATTGACAACAACTCAGCTCAAGCGGCGCTGGTGAGATCTTACTCTCCGGTTACTGACAACTACGAGTTGCTTGTGCGAAATGCTGAACTGGATGTCTGCATGCAGACCATGAACTGGTACTCACGAGTGCCTTCGAAATCGAACATCAGCGACGATCCATCTAGACTTTGCTTCACTGAGCTGGACAGGAGTGGTTACACACGATGCGAGCCGTGTTATGACTTCACGAAGGTGAGGTCGCAAAAAGGGGGTGGCAGGCGTGAAGGTAAAAGTCCTTTGACGCGAAACGGTCAACGGATCGCTGGCTCCCCATTGCTGTTGAAAAAAAGAAGGACTTTCATTTCTCCTGTCGTGCTCAGTTGTTTCAGTGAAGCATGTTTGCGTTTCCGATTGAGTTCGTTTTCGCTGAGTGTGTTTTGGATTCTCGATGTTTGGTTTTTTTAAGTTTTAAGTTTTAAGTTTTATGCGTAGTACGCGAACGGCGCGAACGCGGTTAGAGGTTGGAGGTGAACCAAACTAAGATAAGCTGCGACTCACTTTAGTGATACGCCTTTATCTTAAACTGGTTCATAGGCAGGGTGCTGCCGCCCTCAAATCCCTCTTCCTTGCGTTCGTGTAGTTTGTTGTTTGCCTTCCTGTGTCCTCTCTTCGCGGTCTGCCCTTTGTGCTCTCGCTCTGCACGTCTGTGTCTCTCGTTGTGAGGGTTTCACGACTTGCGGCGAAGTGAGGTAAAAGGTAAACAAACCTTTTTGTTTTAAAACTTGTTTTTCTTTTTCCAGAAGTGGATTGTTGAAACCCAAGTTTTTAAATGTCTCACATGTTTTCGTGGAAGCGGCGAATCATGTTATTTGTATCCATCTGTTTTATTTTCAAGGGAGGGTGGGTGGGACAACGTTCTCACCGCCTGGAGGTTTTTGACCCCCCACACCCATCCCACCTCCAGGCGTGAAGGTAAAAGTCCTTTGACGCGAAACGGTCAACGGATCGCTGGCTCCCCATTGCTGTTGAAAAAAAGAAGGACTTTCATTTCTCCTGTCGTGCTCAGTTGTTTCAGTGAAGCATGTTTGCGTTTCCGATTGAGTTCGTTTTCGCTGAGTGTGTTTTGGATTCTCGATGTTTGGTTTTTAAGTTTTAAGTTTTATGCGTAGTACGCGAACGGCGCGAACGCGGTTAGAGGTTGGAGGTGAACCAAACTAAGATAAAGTATTGTGTTGCATTGCTTCGGCTCTGCTTGCCTTATCCGTCATGAGGTTGACTAATTCGGCTATCTCAAATAATGAGGTCGGCACACAGTCAGAGTCTATCAGTGCAAAATTTACAGTGGGAAACATTAGGCACAGCGCCTCCAGGGCTGCAGCACCAGCCCAGGTATAGTGGACCTGATGCAATCCTGTATCAGCATTTATGGGAAAATGGATAGCAGTTGTCTTCTCCCGGTAGGGGCCGGCCAGTAACTGTACATCTGCCTTTGATCCAGGGTGCAAAATGTGGCCAGTAGGCCGGGGGATCAGTGCCTGACAGTTTGCGGTTGTCCACATAAACATAAACGGTGGCATACTGTGGCACCCATGAGAGGTTATCCACTATCCACTGGAAGAGTGTCCTGTGATGGACCTGGCTGGCTGCGGGGCGTCGTATTCCATTCCCTTCGACCACCATAATAGCTGGGTATGTCAGGGGTGACTGGGGCATACGACGAGAGCCGACATCGGCCCACTTCCACCTTTGCTTGATGTCGTCCATGCCGAGTGGAGTTTCGATTTCTTTTTCCGAGAGGAAAAGTTCATCAAGTTGGCGGCTTATTTGCAAGACCCCCTGGACATCGAAGAAATCGATAGGTGCGGCAATTTCCCACTGCTCTCTTGGGGGAGGCTCAGCTCCTTGTTGGAAATAAGGAGTGTCATCATCTGTCTCGAGGGCGTCAAAGTAAACCGATTGGTCACTGTCAACTGACACATCCTCGCCTGTTTTATCTGGGATGGTTGGTTCCGTTGGTTCGATGTCTGTATCTGAGTCGTCAGGGTCAGGCGACGCCAATGAAATGAACCTATTTGATGCCATGAGCTGTTGTAGCATGCTGGCGCAGGCTTGACCCTGAACAACCGGTACCCGGTGTCAGGTTACAAGTGACCAGCCGGGACTAGTGAATACTATCTGGGCAGTGAGTGCAAAATGTGTCCAATGGATTGGCAAGGCTAGGGAAACCCCGAACACCCGGTACCCGGGGTCGGGGTTCCTCGTTGCGGGGCCAATTCGATGGAAGTTGAAAAAGAGAACCAAAACAATCAGGGTTTGTCTATCACCTTGGTGTGCGAATTGATGTCTGATGGCTGACCTAGCTATAAGAACTAGTGGAGCCACAAAAGCTGCAGTGCAAACAATTTACCCAGTTACGGTGTTCATGCAACCTTCTCTGCTCAAAGTAGAGATTAGTTCTAATGGAGCTGAGATGACTGAAGACGACAGGACCTGGGACACACGCCTAACCAAGACAGCAAGTAAAACCAAATCCCAATAAATCCCCTTACTCTGGCTTGCGGGGGTCAAAATAAGTTGGTACTCTCCCATAAGTAAAGTTTGGGGGGTATCACCCTGGCACGCAGCTGCTTTTCTCTTGGCGCATCTGTGGGGTAGGCGGCGACAGAAATGGCACTGATCAGGTGGTTTCACACAGTCAGGTGCACTCAATGCTAGCTGGCTGCAAGTTTGATCAGTCAATAATTTCCATTTCCATATCTGCTACAGGCGAAGCTTGCGGAGTGCCTGGTGCCTGGCCATCTTGCATTCTTTTGAGGCGCTTCTTGATACGCGTCAGATGCTCGCGAGCACTGGCTAGCCGCGTTTCATGAAAGGCTACTCTTTCACAAGCTGCCTTCTCCATGTTCTGTAATGTCGGGATGTCCGCTGCGGCGAGGTCAACGTCCTGTCTGGATTCACAGGCGGGCTCAGGGCTGCTAGCAACAACAGTGTCCGTGGCTTGCGTCTCTGGCGATTCATTTGGTGTGTCAGCAGGCGACGATTCTTCTGTCGGCGTGTCGTTGTCGACAGCGGATTGCTCCTTTTGAGGTTGCTGCTGTTCTTCATCTTTGTTGTGTGTTGCAGATTGAGAGTCGGAGGATAACACACCGGTACCCGGGGTATCCGTCTTTGATTTGCTCGTGGGTAGGGTCGATGGTGGGCCGGGTCTTTGGCTGAATAGTGATTGTGCACTGACCTTAGGCGGCCGATGGCTTTCTTGAGGAGCTGGAGCTTCTGCCGCCACACCTGTACTGGGATTGGTTGGCACGGTGGTTGCAGCGTTTTCTGTGCTTTGTTGACTCGCGGCCAGCAAATTGGCTGGTTTTTGGGTTTGTTTGGAATCCGCTGGTCGGCTGTCTGCCAACGTCCGTTGGTTTGCTTGAGCAATGATAGATTGCAATTCCATAT